TCAGTCTGGAAGTTACGTTTCGATCTATCTCTGCTTTTGCTTTTTTGACTTTTGAACAAAAAATACTGCGAGCTGAAGCCACTTTCTTAAGGAAACGAAAACAGTTATGTCTGAAAGCGATGATGGCTGCTGAAGGCTTTTATGGCTTGGAGAAGAAACTTGCAACTTTACTTACCAGCGGAGTTAGCAAGCAAGAAACTGGAGGTGTGAAAGCACGTGGAAAGTGAGCGTAAACGAGAGCAGCGTCCAAAAGAGGGAGTTTTGAGCGAAGAGTGAAATGATACATGTTACACCGGCGTGTGTACATAAAGCGGCAGAAGACAGTGTGGGCAGACAAACAAATACCTTGTTTTGACCGTAACGGTATTGATTAGGCTCCAATTTGACGTAGTCTAGAATCATTTCTGCGCTAGGCCGGGGAGGAACTTGCTCCTTGCGTTCCTGGAGGAGCAGTGGAGGACACAGGACGCGGTATCTGGACGAGATCTTAAGTGTCAGAACGAACACAACGAAGGGACAGACGGGTAATCCTCGCGCCACTAGCTGACGGCGAGGAACTAGGGTGAAGAAGGAGGGAGTGTTGGGCCGGGTGGTGGCTGTAGGCCCGAACACGAGGCTCCGGGTCTGCCGGTTTACAGGTGTGGGAGAGACAGAGAGAGACAGAGAGAATTTATAAGGAAGGTTATGAACAATGTGAAGGATGGAGACAGGACATGACAGCCGCCAGTGGGACACATGGAGCTCCGTAAAGATATCGCGCGACAGGACAAGAGCTGTCTGTCAGCGCGATGCTGCTCAAAACAGAAATTTGTGCGTACGCCCCGCACACTGGAGTTAGCCAACCAAAATTACAGAGGGTCAATACGCGGTGTGAAAATCATGACTAAATATACAAGAAAGTCACTCAGAAGAGAAAAAAAAAGAAAACACAGTGTATGTCACTACAGTCTATTCTAACATCACACACAACTTGAAGAATCTGTTTGTTATGGAGTCGCCAGGACAACTATGCCTCAAGGCGACGCATCCTCATCCTCATCCTGGTCAAACGGATGCCGTTATAAAGGGGAGCATTATCTGGCTTCCTCCTGTCTGTCTGGGCGTGTCCCTTGGGCACCAGGCAAACAAAGGCTTCAGACAATGGAAACGAAGGAGAGAGATGAAGAAAAGGGCAAACGGAAAATGGGAGAGGTCGATACGCAGAAGTAAACAAATAAACAGATAAATAAATTATAGAGAAGAGAGGGAATCCTCCCTCTCCCGAGTCGCTGCGGGAGCCAAACTAAACAGAGGAGAAGGTTTGTGTTCTAATGAGGAGAAAGAACGGGGTGACTGGAGCGAGAAGGAAGAGCTACTCTACGCAAAGCTCCGATCTCCCCCTTCGCCGAGAGACGAAGGAGAGGGTGGGGGGTGACGTGCCTTTGTGTGGCCCATACGGAATTTCTCTGGCTCCAGTTGCACGAAGTTCAGCAATTCCGTGGTAGCCTTTTTGTGGTCGTCTTCCAGATCTTTGGTTATCTTAGGATTGAGGATGTTGTATCTAGAAGGGTTTTAAAAGAAGAAAGAAAAACACGAGTGAAGGGAGGCGTCATCAAAGCTGGTGATGACTGAGCAAGGATGTGTTAATCAAACTAACTTTTTTTTTTTATAAAGAGACACAAAAAAAGACAAAAGAAATACATTTTCAGGTACACGTTACAACTTCGTGGTCCTTCCGACGAAGATTCACACCAACACTTATATATACACGAGCAGAGTTAATGTCTTCGAGAGACCCTGCAAGAGTTCGTACACATGGATAAGAAACTTCAAGGACTGGAAACACACACGGAGGATGGGACGACTCGCTCCTTCACTTAGAGAGTTCGGTCGCGTCCAGACACAGAGGGCACATGACTCACACACACATATATAAGGATCTACCACTAAGAACGTCCAAAAAATGTACAGAACCAAATGAGGTGTATTTTTGTCTGGCTCCTTTTCATTTTTAAAAGACGGAACCGACGCTCGAGAAACATGCCTTCGTGTGGCCCATCCTGTACTTTTCGGCTTCGAGGCTAATGGAATCGAGGAGGACCTGGCTAGCCTTCTTGTCATCCTCGGCGGCGGCTGCTGCCTTAGGGGCTAGGATGTTATATCTGTTGAACAGAGTCCGGTCTGCAGTGCATCTACATGAGGTTATGTAAAAATGATCGGGCAGTTTGCCTCCCGCTTTGAACACTACGGCAGGGCTCCAACACCACACGGGCCCACTACTTCATTCCCCTAGAGGTTCCTTCGCTAATCTCGGGGCACTAACTTCGTCTAAAGAAGATTCTTTAAAAGCTATCAGACACTTTAAAACTAGAAGCTCAACCACTCTCTTCTGTCGAAGAGATACATCACAAACCATATCAAAACCTCAGGTACACTTCTATAGTTTACTTGTGACCTAAATATATAGCAAAAAATGCTATATTGATTTTAAAAAAATACATAGACATGATTCCTAAACATGGATCATGCACTAGGGGAGGCTAACCCTCGACCCAAGCTGTAACTCAAGGGGGACGTGCCTTGGTGTGACCTAGCCTGTATTTCTCCGACTCGAGCTCCACAATCTCAAGAATGATCTGACTCGCTTTCTTCTCATCCTCGGCCGCTGCAGCAGGCTTCGAGGCCAAGATCTGATATCTGACGGCGGAAACAGCACGCTAGGTGTTAAGGAATGACTGTGTTATGGCTCGAACACCTGGGAAAGCTGTGGGAGTGAGGGGCTGTTTTTTAAGGGAATACTAAAAGAAAGGTGTTCGTTAACTATGCATTTCTTCTTTTTCTTTAGCGGGGGGGAGGGTAACTCTTGAAGATATTAAGAAATAAAAAGAACTGGGTTAACATAAATCCTCTTTCTCTTATGTGCATAACATCAGTTTTTCTACCAATAAGTACAATGAAAGTATCATCACACATCACGGAAGTCCAACCTACCCTATACCTACCACTTTCACGTACGCCGATCCTGTAGATGCGGCTTTAGGTTCAGAATCCATGCAACTAAGCTTGTCAAATACCCGCATTTTGGGGGAAACTATACCCTTATATCCATCTAATGGGTATGGCATTGTCTCTTACCACGTTAGCCATATCAATACGAGAATTAGAAGAAAAAAAACTCTATATATCTAAACTTTACAAACTTACTAAACATACATACCTAAAGAAATAAGGAACAATATTAAGACAAGAAGATCCAGCTCGTTTTCAGAAACTTGAGAATCCTTTTAAAGGGGAAACTAAGCTAATTATACTGGAAGGAAAGTAGGTATGATACAAATATCGTAAATTGGGAGATTTAACATGTCTCGTAGTGCAAGGACCAACGTCTTATGGAGAAGTTTCTTGCGAGAGGTGAAAGAGAAGGAGTGCAAAAGAACCAAATGTCCAATGCCACATAATTAATGTCTTGGATTTCCTCAACTCTATTTTTTTTTTTTTTTTTTTTTGGGGGGGGGGAGATACTAGGAAGGAGAACAAAGTTGAGTCACGATGCAGAGATGCGTATCGGCAAATTTATCACATCGTGAAATTAAAATTATTCATATTCCGCGTTCACATTTTTTTTTTTTATTCGTCACAATGAATTATCATTAAGAGTTGTAAACTACAAGGGTAGAAATATATTTGCAAAATTCCAGCATTCTGCATTCTGTCATGGTGATTCACTGAAATTCTCTACAACCCACTTGTCGCAGATTTCAAAGAGGGATCATCATCATAAACGAAAAAAAAGAAAAGGGACATATTCCAATCAGTTACCAATCAATGATTTTCTTTCTTTTTTGGAAGTGTTCTTGCCAGCTGACATTTCTAATCTTCAGAAGCGTGTGTGATTGTTCCTCCTTGAACTTTGAAACACCAAGAAAAGAAATTGTTACTGAAGATATTCGCTTCCTTACCAATACCAAAGATACTATCGAAAATAGTATCTATCCTTAGAAAACCTTCTTTTAGTAAACTAGTATTCCTATGTAATATTGCAATTCCTAACTAGTACAATTAAAAACAAAACTGTACAATATTGCCCACGAGAGAATGATGAAAGTAAGCAATGAAGAATTACGTGATAAATAGTAGGTATGTTTTAAATCAAATATAACACAATACCCACATTATAGGTAACGGGTAAAATTAAATGTAATATATCAAATCAATAGTCTATAAATATAATACAATAAACTAGATAACTGGCAATGAATACAACAAAATACAATACCTATTCCATACACAAACAAATGAAATATGTAAAAAAATGAAACAAGTCAAATAAAAAAATAAAAAAAATTTCTTTAAGTAATTAAATAAATAATATAAAACAACACATTCAAACCTCGTAACTTACCGGTGCTTAAAATCAGGGTAGACCATCCTGTTGGGGAAGCCCTTACGACAGATACGGATGCCTTCAAGCACACCGTTACAGGTCAGCTGATGCATCACAAGAGCGGCGTCGATAACACCTGTTTTCGGAAGAGACGGAGAGGGGGAGGGGAGAGGGGGGGGGGGGGGGAAGGGGACGTGTTACTTTGGTGTCTGTCGAGGACACTTCAGAGGCTTCCTGGGATTGTGTGAGGGATTTCAGGGTATACCTCTGAGTGTCCTTTTATTTAAATTGATTACGAGTGTGTAGGGAAAAAACAGAGATTTTTTTTTTTTTTTTTTTTTTTTTTTTTTTTGGTGTGTGGATATAAAGTTGAATTATTTTTGTTTATTTCTGGGCTGGAATTTTTAATGAATAATACATGATTTTATTTTCTTCTCACACCAAATTGCGGAGAATAATGCTACTAATACATGAATACATTATTTTTCTCCTTCATTAAATTTTGCATGCAGTAACAAACAAGAAATTTGTTATTCTCAAATCAAGCAAAAAGGACTCTGATAGAATGAAATGACGATGGAATGAGAAATTTATGGGTAAATGTTGTGCGAAAGAGTGGGTGAGTGAATGAGTGAAA